TTTGTGGTCCTGATGCTGCGAGCGCCACTTCGCCTCCCTCTGCATCTCTGGTCGCCGCCCGCAGCTCCCGTCTCCGCGCCGCCCGCAGCATCCTCCTCCCGTGTGGCGCCCGCCCGCCCGGCCGCGTCGGCACCCGGGGCATGGCCAGACTGCCGGCCAGCGAGCCCAGGCGGCAGGCGCAACCCCAGCAGCAGCCGCCCCGCGCCTCCCCCATGAGCGGCGCCGCCGACCCGGAGGGCATGAAGGATCTGGATGCCATCAAGCTGTTCGTGGGCCAGATCCCACGCAACCTGGAGGAGAGGGACCTCAAGCCCCTCTTCGAGCAGTTCGGCCAGATCTACGAGCTCACCGTGCTCAAGGACCGCTACACCGGCATGCACAAAGGTAGGGCGACGGGGGCCCCCCCACCTCTTTCAACCCCCCCCCGTTCTCCCCCAGGTTGGCCCTCTCCTCTTCCTCCCCGCCTGGATTTCCTACCTTTCCAACCTGGCCTTTCTCCCCAAATCTGTCTCATTAAACGGGATGGACTACAAATCCCATATCAGGATGGGAGCTGTAGTCCGAGATAATTGAGGTGGGGGGAGGAGCCCCAGGCTGGACAGCAGGCATTCTCCGCCTCCCGGTGCTCTCTGCCCACCCCCCACCTCGCTTCCCCCTCTTCAGCTGGGTTTCCTGCATCCCTTTTTTGAGCATCTCCTGGGTGTTTCTCCATCTTTTTTGTCGCCCTCCCTTTCACATTTCTCATTTCCTCTTGATTCGTTCTCCCAGTCGTTCCTTCCTTTCATTCTGGCCACCCGGCTTGCGCTCAACACACATCTGGGCACACACCCGCACATGTGCGTTTTCCTCTCTCGCACACAAACACACACCTTCCCACCTTCCCTTTTTTTTTTGCTGTCCACCCAGCTGTCCCATCCGATTTTCCTGCAACCAAACAACAGCCCCTTTTCTTTCCAGCCATTTTATTTCAGGTTTTCCCCCACCCCCGTGGTCAGCTCTTGGGGTGCGTCGTGACATAGACAGGAGTCCAAGCCCTTATACACACAGAAACCCTGGACTTCAGGCCTCATACTCTGTATTTTTTTTCCCCCCAACCATGACATTAAGAAGCTGGGAAGGCCCTGTGTCTGGTATTGTTTGCAAATGAGGACCCGGATTGTGGGGGCAATAAGCTGACTTTGTATAAAAAAAGAACACCGCTTGGAGGGGGGGCGAAAACCCTACTAAGCAGGTATATACAAAAATATGAAGGCTATTGCTTAACGTATTGTAAGCCGCCCTGAGTCTCCGGAGAAGGGCAGCATATAAATCGAAACAATAAATACATATATACATACATACATACATACATACATACATACATACATACATAAATAAATGAAACATGGTCGGAAAGAGGGCCCTAGATCTCATATCAGCTGGGCTTCCTTCTTTCTCACCCCTTAACCATCTCCTTGTGGAGATGTATAAAGAAGAGGGAGTCAAGCTATTCTCCAAAGCACCTGAGGGCAGGACAAGAAGCAATGGGTGGAAACTAATCAAGGATTAGGGAGGAATAGTGGCAGGAATTGGGTATGTCTAGACTAAGGAAGAGAAGGACTAGAGGGTGACATGATAACAGTCTTCCAATATCTAAGGGGCTGCCACAAAGAAGAAGGGAGTCAATTTATTCTCCAAAGCGGATGGAAAGTAATCAAGGAGCGATCCATCCTAGAAGTAAGGAGAAATTTCCTGACGGAGAGAACAATTAACCTGTGGGATGACTTTCCTTCAGAGGTTGTGGGCGCTCCAGCACTGGAAGTTTTTAAGAAGAGACTGGACAACCATTTGTCTGAAATCTATAGGGTTTCCTGCTTAAGCAGAGGGTTGGACTAGAAGACCTCCAAGGTCCCTTTGAACTCTTGTTATTCTGTTGTTATCCAGAGGCCTTTCTCGCAACACTTCTGTCTCAATCTCTTTAGGTCATCTTCACATTATTTTTTAAAAATTCCTGCACTCAAATTCTATCTCTCGTCTCCCTTTCCCCCACCACTGCTGCCAACCTGTCTCATTTTATGTTTTTTTCCAGCCTGCAGGCCACTCCCTTCCAACTCTCTCCTGTATTTCAATGTGCTTTTAAAGGTAATAATAATAATAATAATAATAATAATAATAATAATAATAATAAATAAATAAATACCAAAAAACTGGAAGGTCTGCGAAAGCAGAGGGAATGCAGTTGCATTTAAAAAAATATTTTTGCGTTCAAGAAACAAACGCAAATTTGGGAAAGGGATCTTGGTAACTTAACCTAGTGGATCCGAGCTAAATACAAATCCTTTTTTTATTATTATTATTTAAATCAGCTTTATGAAAACAAAATCCTAATGGAGATTCAGGTCTTAGGGCAATGATGATAAACCTTTTGGGCTTGGCTTCCAAAAATTTGGAAAATGCCTAACTTGATTCTGTTGGTGTGTCACCAACACCAAAACGAAAGAGGAACACTTCTTTACATATTCATTTATTTTACAAAAAACACAATCTATCCATGAGTGGTGCTTTGTATTATATAAAGAAAGGTCTAATGAATTACAAGTAAAACTAATTTTCGAAGTGAGAGCACATCCCATGTTCAGGCAGCCTATGAAAATCACACAGGTAGACGTCAACTTACGTTCATTTAGTGACGGTTTGAAGTTAACACAGCACTGGAAAAAAAGTGACTTATGACCGTTTTTCACACTTACGACCATTGCAGCATCCCCATGGTCACGTGATCAAAATTCAGATGCTTGGCAACTGACTCACATTTAGGACGGTGGCAGTGTCATGTGATCCTCTTTTGCGACCTTCTGATAAGCAAAGCTAATGGGGAAGACAGATTCACTTCAAGTCCTGAAGGCTGTTACCTCCCTCCTTAAGTTCCTTATGCCTTAAGTTCCAGATGTTGGGGTGGCACCAAAGAACCACCCCAACACCTGGAACTCGCCCCTAGAGCTTTAGGGCTAGAAGGGGTCTTGGAGGTCTTCTAGTCCAACCCCCGTCCCAAGGCAGGAGTCCTCACACTATCCTGGACAAATGAATGTCCAATCTTTTATTGGAAATTATCCAGTGATGGAGCACCTGACGATGGCCTTCTGGCCAACTTCTCACCTGCAACCGATTGGTCACCCTGAATTGCTAAAAGGTGCTCCTAGTCATAAATCAAAGACTGAACCCTTTGAATATCAACTGTTGGGCAGTGAAGAATGGAGTGGAGTGGAGTGGAGTGGAGTGGAGTGAAGTAGAATATAGGATATGGAATAGAGTGGAGTAGAGTAGAGTAGAGTAGAATATAGGCTATGGAGTGGAGTGGAGTGGAGTAGAGTAGAGTAGAATATAGGATATGGAATGGAGTGGAGTAGAGTAGAGTAGAGTAGAGTAGAGTAGAGTAGAGTAGAATATAGGATATGGAATGGAATGGAATGGAGTAGAGTGGAGTAGAGCAGAGCAGAGCAGAGCAGAGCAGAGCAGAGTAGAGTAGAGTAGAGTAATAGGATATGGAATGGAATGGAATGGAATGGAATGGAGTGGAGTGGAGTAGAATAGAATATAGGATATGGAATGGAGTGGAGTAGAGTAGAGTAGAGTAGAGTAAGAGTAGAGTAGAATAAGGATATGGAGTGGAGTGGAGTGGAGAGTGGAGTGGAGTGGAGTGGAGTGGAGTGGAGTAGAGTAGAGTAGAGTAGAGTAGAGTAGAGTAGAGTAGAGTAGAGTAGAGTAGAGTAGAGTAGAGTAGAGTAGAGCAGAGCAGAGCAGAGCAGAGCAGAGCAGAGCAGAGGATATGGAATGGAATGGAATGGAATGGAATGGAATAGAATAGAATAGAATAGAATAGAATAGAATAGAATAGATAGAATAGAATAGAATAGAATAGAATAGAATAGAATAGAATTTTAAAGCTCCATTCGAAAATCACTTGATTCATTTATTTGTATGCGTCCTTCAATATTTTTACAAATAACTTAAGCGACAAACATATCCAACTTAAACCTTCCTCTTCCTCCTTTCACCGACCAGCTCCTTCTTTCTAGCCTGACGCTTTAACCACTGGACAAAACTGTTTCTTATTTTATTATTAAAGCTTAAGATGTTTGCTAAGTTAAGCATAAGTGTGTTATATTGACACAAGCCATGGTGTTTTGTTTACCTGGGTGTGGTAGGCTTAAAAATCTGGTGTGAAGTCAAGACTAGAACTCACAATCTCCCAGTGATTGGCTCAGAAACCCAGTTTCTGAGTCTTCCAGTTTCTAGCCTGGTGCCTTAAATGTGTTATATAGACATAGTCATGGTGTTTTGTTAAGCAGAACCATTTTAGCCAGTAAGCTACTCTAACCAACAATCATGGTTAATTTAATTGTTATTTTTCCTTGTACGTTTTTAATTCTTTTCTTCACTTATGCTTTTATCATACGCTTTTATTACGGTGTTGCAAACCGCCCGGCGTCACTTCGGCGAGATGGGCGGTGCAGAAATTTAATAAATGTACATACATTCGATACCTAAAGAAATCCGCACGATTTAGCTATCGCCGCATCCTGCGGCAAGGAGTTCCGCAGGCTAATTTTATACCCTGACTTCGAAGAGAATTAGTTGTTTGGTTTTGGGAGGGACAGCAAAACTATTTCTGGCTTTGGAAGTCGGGATTGCAGCTGTTAATTTTGCCACCTTCTCCCTGGCGCTTCAAATCCTAATTTTGGCCCAGCATCCTGGCTCATCGAAACTCATATTCAGAAGTCCCAGTTGGGTGCAATAAATCCCCCAGGAGTGGGTTGAACAGCTGGGAAGTGCCAAAATGCGTGGCAGGTGGGCTGAATTTGCCGTGCGAATTCTGCAGACTTGTTTGTGTGTGTGTGTCAGTTTGTGTGTGTGTGTGTGAGAGAGAGAGAGAGAGTACACGCACTCGCAGAGCTGAAATCATGAGTAATTTCTCCTCTGGAGAATTCTTGTCTGCTTTATTCACAATTTTCTTTGAATTCTTCCCAAACCCAGCAGAATAGTGGAAGGAAATTATGCAGAGGGGAGGGGGTTTGTGTCAAATCTCTAAAGGTCAGCTTGATGGGTCTCCCCCCCCCCCCCCCCAATGAACACAATGGGACTATTTAATGTGTATAAGAAGAAGAAAAAAACCAGGAAAAGAGAGATCAAGATTGAAAATGGACCAGATCCAGCAAGTGGCTATAGACCAAAAAGATGCAGGGGGAGCAAATTCCCTAATCTATTCCATTTCCTCCCCCTCAAATTTACCATGAAGCTTTCTTTCTTTCTTTCTTTCTTTCTTTCTTTCTTTCTTTCTTTCTTTCTTTCTTTCTTTCTTTCTTTCTTTCTTTTTCTTCCTTCCTTCCTTTCTCCTTTTCTTTCTT